TCCTATAAAAAACAAAAGAAAATAAATAAATGCACTTTTTTTTTACCTGCCAAAAGATGTACATGAATAATTTTTTTTACAAAGATGAACATATTGTTTAAAGTTTTTTAATCTATTTCATTCACTGTTATGGAGAAGGATGCAGTAAGTGCTGGAACACGTAGAAAACAGCCCAAACTCCATAGTGGACAGGAACACAATCAGGACAAATGGCAGGGGATTCTTTCTGTTGAGGTATCGTAAGAAATATAATAATTAAGCCCACCAGGCTTCACAACTAAATAAAATATTACTTTTGGGTAACCTTTAGAGAGCATAGAGTCTATCATATAGCAAGTCTCGGCCTGAGAATTAGATGTGGGTTATCTGTGAGATTATGGCCTGTGGTGTATGTTGTGGACACTTGATGCCATGCATTGGACCAGTTCTGGGTTTCCCCTGTAAATCACTGTAAAGCTTATTTTTTAAACAAAAATTCCCTCACAATAACACCACTGTTTATAAATAATATAATGTCTAAAAATTATAGTAAGTGTGTGCCTCTTACCTGTTTTACAAAGTTATTTTGAAGCATCTCCACAAAATGTCCACCATCTTCAATACTTGTACACTTGGATGTTGTTATGTAACACTGGCTTTTGCATTCAAACACAGCAACAACAAAATACATGCTTTCTTTCTTTTAAGTCTTTATTTATTCAATTCACATTGAAAGAAAAAAAGTACATTCCAAGGCAAAACATGACATAACCAGTAGGTGAAATCTTGTCACAAGCAAGCAGTAAGCGAAAGGCAAATTCTGGATAGTGATAAAAAAATATTAGCTACTGAGACGTAGACAGATTATAACAAAAAACCCACATCCAGAGTGAGTGATGTTAATGGGGGTTAATGATGTTCCCATATAGGCAGTGTGGCAGATTTTTAATGATTATTGAGGGGGAGGGGTGGGATGGAAAAAAAAGGGGTAGGAAGGAAAGGGAAAAAAGTTTTGAACTCTTATCCAGCATCTCTGAGCAGACATAAGGACCATCAGCATCAGTAGAATGTAGGCATTCTCACTCTGTCTCCCTGAGGTTTAACTACTAGTCTTCAAAAGAAAACACATGCTTCCTAAAACAAAATATAACAAAATGTAAATGCTTCTCACTAAGACATACACTATATTGCCAAAAGCATTGGGACACCCCTCCAAACCATTGGATTTAGGTGTTCCAATCACCTCCATGGCCACAGGTGTATAAAATCAAGCACCTAGGCATGCAGACTGCTTCTACAAACATTCATGAAAGAATGGGTCGCTTTCAGGAGCTCAGTGAATTCAAGCGTGGTACCGTGATAGGTTGCCACCTGTGCAATGAGTCCATCTGTGAAATTTCCTTGTTACTAAATATTACATGGTCAACTGTTAGTGGTGTTATAACAAAGTGGAGGCAACTGGGAACAGCAGCAACTCAACCATGAAGTGGTAGGCCACGTAAGATGACAGAGCGGGGTCTGCACAGTCAATAGCTAAAGACCTCCAAACTTCATGTAGCCTTCAGATTAACACAACAACAATGCATAGAGAGCTTCATGAAATGGGTTTCCATGGCCAAGCAACTGCATCCAAGCCTTGTATACATGCATTACATAAAGACATGGATGAAGGAGTCTGGGGTGGAGGAACTTCACTGTCCTGACCTCAACCCGATAGAACACCTTTGGGATGAATTAGAGCAGAGACTGTGAGCCAGGCCTTCTCTTCTGATATCAGTGCCTGACCTCACAAATGCGCTTCTGGAAGAATGGTCAAACATTCCCATAGGTACACTCCTAAACCTTGTGGACAGCCTTCCCAGAAACGTTGAAGCTGTTATAGCTGCAAAGGGTGGGCCAACGCAATATTGAACCCTACGGACTAAGACTGGGATGCCATTATAGTTCATGTGCGTGTAAAGACAGGTGTCGCAATACTTTTGGCAATGTAGTGTATGTCCAGAGAAACACAACTCAGGTCAAACACAGCCTCAGAATTGTCATCCACATTGATTTGATGTGTTTCAAACACATATTAAGTGCAGAAAAATAACCCCCTTATACACAAGCCCTTAGGTCCATGTAATACTAACAGTTCTGTCATTGGCAAAAACTGTCACTGGTGAGCAGGGCAACAGTATTGCAGAAGAAGGGGTAATGTGCACATCTGTTGCTCAGCCCTCTATGTATTAGCCTGAGAGTCAACATCCTAAGCCTCGTCTCTTTTACAAATATTGTTACTATTCCATAAACCTCTAGGAGAAACTATGAGATCATTTAATATATCTGTCTTACAAAGCAATATAATTCCTATCATTTGTATAATTTTACTGCTCCAGGTTTCCAGCTCCATGAACCAAAGTACAGACTTGAACTGTTTGAAAATCTCAAACTACACATACAAAGCAGCCTTAACGGTGAAAGCCAATATATTTGAGTTAGTAAAACTGAAGATACAACACAATATAAATGAGACAAAGCCATTTGTCTGGTTGCTGGAGAAAAAAAAATTACTCTCACATCATAAAGACATCAAATTTCAGGTAAGACTATTTTATTAACACTGGCTTAAGGCAAACCTGTCACAACAGTAAAAAGTGAAAAAAGAGGTTCTACTGTATAAAGATATATTATACTTGCTCCAAGGAGCAGGACCCTCCTATCCCTCTTGCATTGAACTGTATTGCTGTATTGTCTCCAGTTATATTGTAAAGCACTGAGCAAACTGTTGGCGCTATATAAATCCTGTATAATAATAATAATAATAATACTTACCTGTCCTGATTTTCATTCTTTTCAAAAACAATGGCCAGAGAATCTCCATCTGGCACACTTCCAAGAGTTTGGGATTTTCAGCCCCCTGAAAAGTGTGTGGTTCCTTCCACCAGCCCCTTTGTTACTGTTCTGTGCAGAACGTAGTAACATAGAGGCTGATGGAAGAAACCACCAACCCCTACCAGGGGCCAAGAACCAAGAAGCTGCTACAAGTGTTGCTGAAGAACATTATTTTTCAGGCACTGCAGCGTACAAACGCACATTGGGTGGGCAGACAGGAAAATATAATATCTTTTTTTACAAGGGAACCTCCTTTTCAGATGCTTAATTTGGCAACAGTGTCACATTAACTGGTAATCATAAATTATAAACCCACACTCAAGTTATCCAAGACCATGTCCACCCAAAGTATACTCACCCGCTGGCTTCTTATCTTTTTTAATTTCAGTTCCTCTCCTCTGACTAGGTCTAGGACTAGGACAGTTCCTCTACTACCCCTGACTGTATTTAGTTACAGCCCCAAACCCTGCAAAAACTGCTGAAATTAACATAAACTGGGACTAAAGAGCTGCATGAATAAGCACACACACCTACAAAAACACAAAAACAACCAAAAAACACCCCCCGAACCCAATAAGTCCAAGCTGCATGAATTAAATGATACGCACAAGCTTATTGTTATAGTGTTGTTTATATGGGAAGCCCAAAAAAAAAACCAAAGTACAAATTGTAGACCAGGCTGAAGCAGAATTCCCAGATCAGCTCACAACTTTCTCAAGGTTCATGTATGCAGACATTTGAAACTCATTGTTATACCCTTTTGCATAATTTTTTTCATAACTGAAAATCAATACATTATGGCACAAATATTTCTCCAGGAAATCATGTATTTCATCCATTGCATTAACACATGTTTTGCTATACACATGTTTATTCCTTTTTTATTGGGACAAAACAAAAAAAGGGAGGAAAGAAACAAATTCGACATAATGTCACACACCTCCAAAAATGGGCTGGACAAAATGTATTGAACACCCTTTCACAACTGCGGATAAATAAGAATACAAGCATGTGATGCTCCTGTAAACTCACCTGGGGGCACAGTAACAGGTGTGGGCAATATAGAAATCACACCTATTGCAGATAAAAAGAGAGACGTTCACTTAACCTTTGCATTGTGTGTCTGTTGTGCCACACTAAGCATGGACAACAGAAAGAGGAGAGCAAACTGTCTGAGGACCTGAGAAAAAATTGTGGCAAAAAAAAACAATCTCAAAAAAGTCCATCCAGAGAACTAGATTTGCCTTTGTCCACAGTGCGCAACATTATCAAGAAGTTTGCAACCCATGGCACTGTAGCTAATCTCCCTGAATGAGGAAAATTGATGAAAGATTGCAACGCAGAACCATAAGCAGCCCCAAACATGTTCCAAAGACATTCAAGCTGTCCTGCAGGCTCAGGGAGCATCAGTGTCAGCGCGAAGATCCGTCGACATTTAAATGAAATGAAACGCTATGGCAGGAGACCCAGGAGACCCCACTGCTGACACAGAGACATAAAAAAGCAAGACTACAGTTTGCCAAAATGTACTTGAGTAAGCCAAAAGCCTTCTCCCTTGTGGACAGATCAGCTTTCGGTAAAGAAAAACATCATTCTACTGTTTACCGAAAACGGAATGAGGCCTACAAAGAACAAAACACAGTACCTACGGTAAAATATGGTGGAGGTTCAATCATGTTTTGCTGCTCTGGCACATTTGAACTGTGTCATTGATTACCAAAGGATTTTGGGTCGCCCTGTTTGCCCAGTGTCAGAAATTGCTGGGTTTGCGTCCAAGATCCTGGGTCTTCCAGCAGGACAATGACCCCAAACATACGTCAAAAAGCACTCAGAAATATGGATGGCAAAGAAGCGCTGGAGAGTTCTGAAGTATCTAAATCCCATTGAACATGTGGATATATATATATATATTTTATATAATTTAACCTTGTATAGTCATCAGGAAGCCAAATAGGATCCAGAGATCCTATGTTCTCCATTTCTCTTTAAAGTGGGTGTAAACAAACTTGATTTTCAGGAAAATTTATCAAGGGTGCCAACAATTTCGGCCCATGACTGTATAATATATATCTATATATATATAATAAGTATTATATGTAACCTTACATCATATCTATATTGTGCACTTGCTCTGTCCAAAGCACCTAGCATGATTTCTGGCTGCTCTCTCATTTGCTTTTCTTCTTCTGTTATCTGCATGGGACACCAGACAGTCTCGGGAGACAAACCCACTATATTGTGCACTTGCCTCTGCAAAGCACCTAGATGACAGCTCTCTACTGTGCATGTTTGCCAAACCCAGACAGCAGGTGACTGTGTAGAGGGGTAGGGGGGGTCCTTTTTCCTCCACTCAGGTCTCAGATTACAATCAGCTCTCTGCTCTATACTGGACAACGTGTGACATCAGGTCCCTACCCCCTCCTGGAGCTGAAAGAAATGCGGTGTAAATTCTGTACCTTGGCTGGAGAGAAGAAAGCGCTCAGATAAACTGGTACAACTTATGTAGGAGGATTTCCTTCATACTGTATATGTGTATCACCTCAGGCTTTTCACTTCAGTGGGTATTTGTACAACCACATTAAGGTCTGGTTCATACTAGATGCAGTCCAGTGCTTTTTTTCTGCATCAAAAATGCATCAGTAGGTTATATTGTTTCCAGTGGCCTAGATCACACCAGTGTCATCAGTTCCAGTGTGTTCCAAAAAATAAGTAGAACATACTGCATTTTTTTCTGTACTGAACTGTAATGGAACATGGCAAAACACATAAAAAAAACGCACTGGAATGCAGCTAAATGCACCAAAAATGCACGTCTCTGTTTAGGATGAAAAAAAAGAGGGGAAAAAACACACAGTAACGCATCCAAAATGCATACAATTGCACCGGAACACATAAAAATTATCATATGGAAACATATCCGGAACACATACGAACTGCGTTTCTATGGAGTGAACCGGCTCTAAGCGTTATACCTAGAGGGTTTTAGCTTTTTTGTAGACTGCTGCAAAATATCAGTTCTACATAAATGTGGGAAAAATAAGTAGGGAATTTACTGAAAAAGCATATTGCCAACTTTAAAAATTAATGTTATACCAGTAAATCTGCAGTAACTCCTCACCTCTGAAGGGTATCTTACCTCTGATCCTGGAAAATGAATCTTAGTATAAGATTTGCAGATGTTTGTGACTTGCTTTCTGCGTTGTATTGGGTTCCTATGCATGTACATTACCTTTCTATATCTAAATAAAATTGAAAACAAATCTGTTATGCTGATAGAAAGAAACATCACCAGAAAGAACTATTAACTGTTATTTTTTTTTTTCTGCAGTAGTATACTTAGTTTGGATTTGGGAAGAGTCACCGAAAAGCAAGCTGGAAGATACAAGCTATTGATACAACATAAAAACATCAATCACACCATACACTTTGAAGTTGTAGTAAGAGGTGAGGTTATATCTGTTTAAGGGGAAACTATGAGAAAAGAAATATGGGAGATTCCACTTTTTGCTTTCAAATGCGTGAAGGCTGTTATCCGGTTTTGCCTATACCACCTAATGTACTCCCACCCTACATACACTATATTGACAAACGTATTGGGACTCCTGCCTTTACACGCACATGAACTTTAATGGCTTCCCAGTCTTAGGCTGTAGGGTTCAATATTGAGGTGGCCCACCCTTTGCAGCTATAACAGCTTCAGCTCTTCTGGGAGGCTGTCCGCAAGGTTTAGGAGTGTGTCTATGGAAATGTTTGATCCTTCCAGAAGCTTATTTGTGAGGTCAGGCACTGATGTCGGACAAGAACGCCTGGCTCTTAGTCTCTGCTCTAATTCATCCCAAAGGTGTTCTTTCAGGTTGAGTTCAGGAGTCTGTGCAGGTCAGTCAAGTTCCTCCACTCCAAACTCACTCACCGATGTCCTTATGGACCTTGCTTGTGCACTGGTGTACTGTCATGTTGGAACAGGAAGGGGCCATTCCCAAATTTTTCCCACAAAGCTAGAAGCATGAAAATGTTCAAAATGTCTTGGTATGCTGACACCTTAAGAGTTCCCTTCACTGGAACTAAGGGACCAAGCCCAACCCCTGAAAAACAACCCCACACACCACAATCCCCCCTCCACCAAACGTTACACTTGGCACAATGCAGTCAAGCAAGTAATGCTCTCCTGGCAACTGCCAAACTCAGACACGTCCATCGGATTGCCAGAATGAGAATCATGAGGTGTCACTCCAGAGAACATGTCTCAGCTGCTCTAGAGTCCAGTGGTGGCGTGCTTTATGCCACTGCATCTTACGCTTTGCAGTGCACTTGGTGATGTAAGGCTTGGATGCAGCTGCTCGGCCATGGAAACCCATTCCATGAAGCTCTCTGTGCACTGTTGCTGTGATAATCTGAAGCTTACATGAAGCTTGGAGGTCTTTAGCTATTGATTCTGCAGACAGTTGGTGACTTCTGTGCACTTCCGCATGCTCTGATCCTGCTCTGTCATTTTACATGGACTACCACTTTGTGGCTGAGTTGCTGTTGTTTTCAGTTGCTTCCACTTTGTCATAATACCACTAACAGTTGACCATGGAAAATTTAGTAGCAAGGAAATTTCACAGATGGACTTATTTCACAGGTGGCAACCTATCACGATACCAAGCTTGAATTCACTGAGTTCTTGAGAGCGACTCATTCTTTCACAAATGTTTGTAGAAGCAGTTTGCATGCCTAGGTGCTTCATTTTATACACCTTTGGCCATGGAGGTGATTGGAACACCTGAATACAATGATTCGGTGGGGTGTCCCAATACTTTTGGCAATATAGTGTATCTCCAGTTTAGTCAGGCCAAGATCTGAATGACAACCTCAGAGCCTGCATCTCCTACCAAGTCAGCAATGGCAGCACCTAAACTTCTATTGACATTATAATTGAGACTACCTACATTTTATTTTGAGCCTCTCCCCAAATCCTGGCTTTTCAGAAGGTGAATGGGTTTTCCTCTAGAATTTTTAAATGTAAATGCTTTGTAGACAAAAAGTGACCTACATGAATATCCCTGCACTCAATGATAGGCACATTTATAAATAGATGGGCATGTTCTTAATTAATATTATAAACATATCTGACTACAATCTTTAATACCTGAAGGCGTATCTAGTCATCTCCTGACAAAACAAAAGTTTCATGTAATACAGAATGCTGATTTTATACTTTTCACTTACTGCACCCCCTGAACCCTCCATACCGAACCCCCCTCCCATTGTATAGATTTAACCTATGCATTGTTGGGTGGACAGCCCAACATTTCTTCTGCTTATATCCTGAGAATTTATAGGCTGAAATAGCCTACTAATTCTTGTCATCATCTCTTGCATACAGACAGTGTATCTCTATTAATTTGATTTTAATTACTTTTTGGATGGCTTAATTTAAAGGTCAGAGTAGACCCCTTCAGTGTTACTTATAGCAATATAAAAAGAAGCCTTGTATCTTACAGATTTATTGCAGTTAGCAAACCTAATGAATGGCTGCTCAGAGAAGAAGTACACATTTTTCATTATTTGTAGCCATCGGAGAGGAGGTAAGACATGCACTGTAATAGGAAAGATTGTATGTAGATGTGGTCATAAAAACAACTGAAAAAAATAATAAAAAAGGGGTTGTGTGTGTGGGTAGGACAATCTTTAAGGCAGGGTAAAAGGGGCAGCTGCCCTGGGCCCAACCATTTTTGTGGGGCTCAAAGCAGGTGCCCCATATTTGCCACACATTTGTCCACATTGTCCCTGTTTACATTCCTTTATCCCTTGAAGTCTTCCTCCTGCATTATGTCCCAATACCTCAGTGTGAAATGCTGTCACTTATACTGCCCAACTCTGCCCTATTGCAGTGTACAGGTAAATCAGATCATGTCAGCATTCACATGTAAATAACCAGCATTGATATGTAAATAAAGCAGCATTCACATGTATATAGCAACAACATTCATATAGAAATAGTAATGGCATTCATATGTATATCATGCCCCCCTGAGGTTGCATCCACCATCACCTCTGCTGAATGCTGCCCACTAGGGAGGTAAACAGGGGCATGCCTGAAAGTCCTGCCTGCAACTGTGGTCAATGAGCCTACCATCATCCTGTTCTACAAAGGTAAGTAAAGTGGTGTTGGTGGGGTGTACAGAGGTAGGCAGAGAAGGATTTATAGTTTGGGTTGCACAGGTGAGCAAGGAGGGGATGTATAGAGGTAAGGAAGGTGGGCGCATAGATGAGCAACGCAGGCATGTAGGGTTAAGGTGGGGAGGTTGGAGTGGAGAGGTTGGGGGAAGGTTGGGGTTCAGAGGTATCATTAAGTGAATCATAATGATGTGCCATAACCTTTAGCAACCAATAAGTAAGTGATAATGATGCACAGTAACCTATAGCAGCCATTCAGTGAGTGGTAATGATGTGCAGTAACCTGTAGCAATCACTCTGTGGATGGTAAGAATGTGCAGTAACCTCTAGCAACTAATCAGTGAGCTGTAGTGTGTGCTGTAAATTATAGCAACCAGTCAGTGAGCAGTAATGATATGCTGTAACCTCTGGCAACCAGTCACAATCACTGCCTGATCTGCTGCAGTAAACTGATTTTGAGTCTAGCTACTATTTATTGTTTGTCTCAGAGCAGGTGGTGGAGAGCGAAATTGCATGGGGGGGGGGGTGGAGAAAATGCTTCCCCAGGGTCCAATGATGGCCCTATGTATGTGTATACAGTGTGTGTATATATATATATATATAGATATATAAATTCTGACATGGGGGGTGCAAATTTACTCACTCAGTCCTTCTCCTGTGCTGCTGGTGGGTCAGTGCCTGCTTCTAGACCTTCTAGCTGGGCCGCTCCTTCCCTGCTACACAACTGGTCCTCACTCTGGGGGCCAGCGAAGGTCTGAGTTTTCCTCCTTCCAAGCTCCACTGCCTGTAGGTAAGCCCCTCTCAGGCAATCTGATGGATGTGTCTGGGTTTGCCGATTGCCAGGAGAATGGCACTTGCCTGACTGCATTGTGCCAAATATAAAGTTTGGTGCAGAGGGGATTATGGTGTGGGGGGTTGTTTTTCAAGGGTTGGGCTTGGCCACTTAGTTCCAGTGAAGGGAACACTTAAGGTGTCAGCATACCAAGACATTTTGGACAATTTCATGCTCCCAACTTTGTGGGGAACAGTTTGTGGATGGCCCCTTCCTGTTCCAACATGACTGTGCACCAATGCACAAAGCAAGGCCAATAAAGACATGGATGAGTGAGCTTGGGGTGGAGGAACTTGACTGACTTGTACAGAGTCCTGACCTCAACCCGGTAGAACACCTTTGGGATAAATTAGAGCGGAGACTGAGAGCAAGGCCTTCCCATCCGACATCAGTATTTTTTATATATATATATATATATATAAATATACTCACTGCTCAAAAAAATTAAAGTAACACATTGAAAACATCAGATTTCAGTGGGGAAAAATATCATGCTGGATATCTGTACTGATATGGACTGGATAACGTGTTAGGAACGTAAGGATGCCCCATCGTTTGATGGAAATTAAAATGTAGGGAAAAAAATGTCAGTGGCCTCCACCTGTAAAACCATTCCTGTTTTGGGAGTCGTCTCATTGTTGCCTATGTAGTGCACCTGTTGTCAATTTTATTAACACCAAAGCAGCTGAAACTGATTAACAATCAAGACTGACTTGATGCTATTCTCTGAATACAAAGTGTTCCTTTATTTTTTTGAGCAGTGTATATATATATATATATATATATATATATATATATATATATATATATACATACAGTGTGTATGTGTGTGTGTGTGTGTGTGTGTGTATATATATATATACACACACATACTGTGTATGTGTATGTATGTGTGTATATGTATATATATATATACACACATACTGTGTATGTATATATGTGTGTGTATATGTATGTATATATATATATATATATATATATATAAATATATATGCAGTGTGTGTGTGTGTGTGTATGTATGTGTATATATATATATATATATATATATATATATAATTTATGAGGTGTTAACTTGACCACACCTAATATTTTCTCCAATGACCATACCAAGAATAGTGCTTGGTTGATGATTGCGCTGCTTGGAGCTACCAGAGGGGGAACAATAACACTCAATAATCATGAAGCAGTTATAAACAGAAATTACTCCATCATGCATATTGTTGTATATAGTCATTTCAAACAATAAACAAAAAATATATATTTTTTTTCAAATATCAAAGTATATATAAACCTCTAAAAAGAGTATGGATTTCTATAGAGCACAATAACATTATAAAGAAATAATTTTAGCACATTTGTCTTCTTTGAAATCAACATGACAAAAATAAGGCAAAAATGTAAGTAAGGAAAAATACCCCTGAAGTATCTTGATTAATCTAAGGGATTTTTTAAAAATAATTAAAATCACAACCCATACAGAAATGAGATCACAGTTAAATTCTGGACACATTTTGCACCAAAAGGTACTTATGAATGAGGCTCATATAAAAAGTAGGACTTTCCTTTAATACAGTCTTAGATGTTCCTTCTATTTTGAGTGTAAGACAGCATCTCATTATTGGAAACATTACTGACTGTGAGTAATAATATGAATAATAATAATATTAATACAGTCCTAGCTGGATCTCAAGACTTGTTAAGTTTCTGGCTGTGAGCAATAAACTGCAGTAAAGAGCTTTAACTTATCCAGAGGATAGTTTTGTTCAGGGCTTTGCCAATAAACCATAAGCAGAGGCTGGTTACTGTAACCACAATACATTCCTCATATAGAGACTCAACTATATTTTACGTTTTGTTCTAGGTAAGCCAAGGAAGCCCTATTTCACTGCAGAGGGAGGAAAGGTGAGATGTATATCAGAGGGGTTCCCTGATCCTGAGGTCCGATGGGAATTCAGCACCCCATGTAAACACAGGTAAAAAAAATTGTTGACAGAACATAGACCTGTTTTATAACACTTAAAACTGTACCATCAATACTGCGGTCAAAGCTAAGATTAAGTGTAATAAAACTCTTACATATAGATTGCATGAGCATTGCATTAGTTAGTGACAATAGACTGTGGTTTAATTCTTACATTGGACATATAGGCTGTGGCTGTAGTGGCAAGGCCAAAGAGCAGCGCCCAGTTGCCCACACGGCTGGTATCACACTCTTATGTGTAATCATTTGGTTCCAGGCTACAGATCTGCCTGTCAGTTCCACCCTATGTGGATCTCATTGTGGCAACTAGTGAATTCCCATTAGCGAAATAGTGTACTTACACAGATTTTACACTTTGCCCACAATGGTACAACCAGGGGCGGACTGACAACTCATGGGGCCCCGAGCAATAGGGGATCATGGGCCCCCTGTGTCCTTGCCCACACTCAAAAAAGCCTATAAAAAATGTACAAGGGGCATTTCATGGGGTCCTCTACTGACCCCGGGCCCTCGGGCAGTGCCCGAGTGCTCGAATGGTTAGTCCGCCCCTGGGTACAACTAGAACCAACTGCTGTCAGAGTAGAGTAAAGCTTTGCCCTAATTTATTAGATGCTGGCAGAGTGGGCAAACTTTCTTTCTCAGCCTCTCTACCACCAACCCCAACTTGCTTGTGCAGGTATATTACCAAGCTTGCAAGTTGATAGGGTTAGAGGAGGAGCAGCACAGAACCGTTGGCCTAGGGGACAGAAAATATAATTCTTGACCTGTTTGTTGCAAAGGCTTAGATGTTGTCTACAATTTTCTTATTCAGTTATTGTGTGGTTAGGCTTCATATAACATAAATTGCATAATGCACTACTTCACTCCTGAGATTTATGTGACCTACACTGTGGTTGAATGTGCATGACTAGTAATTATAATCATGTGATCCCAGAAGCCATTTTGTCTTTTAATAAATTAACTTTAGATGGAAAATGCAAGTGTACAATCCAAACGCCCACGTTCCTGTGTTAAAAATGGCTGTGTGCATAAGAGGGTGCTGCAGCGACCGTCAGCTGGAACCAAACAGAATCAGCAAGGGAGAATGTCACCAGCACACCGAGGATCAGCAATATGGGTCCAAAGGTTTACAGCAAGGCCGCGTTTTGGAGTCTCGCAGGACCCCTTCATCAGGCATGTGACAAATTGTGACAGAAACTGGAAAACTATTTAAGAAAACCATCCACCAATCAGAGTGAAGTAAAATGAGCCTGGCCCTGCCCCATGATGTCATGTTCCCTCCAAAAATGCATTCAAATCAATGTAAACAGAAACATAAACTGGGAAAATAAATAAACCATAAACCAATAATCAGATGTGCATAAACTGCATTCCCGGGGATATAAACATTGTGGTCACATGTGTATCATAGTACTTAATACACAACCACGAACTATGGCTTTGTCCATAGGTCATTCGTTCAAGCTTAAAAGCAAATTCATGCCCCCTGGGCAGTACCAATCCGTTGATTGCTACATACGCACTCTGAAACATGATGTTCTCTCTGGAATTCCCATGAAGAGATACACTAATCTTAGTCCTGAGAAATTTAAAGCCCTAAGGACACTCAGGGACAATAAAAACATTATCATCAAGCCCATGGATAAGGGCGGTGCTATTGTGACAATATGGACAATAAAAACTATAGGGCTGGCATGTTATCAACGTTAGCTGATACTACTAGTTACCTACAACTCACTGCAGATCCTACACAAGGCATTATGCACACTGTAAATTCTCTCATTACCATCGGCCAAGCCAAGGGCTGGATCTCCAATGTGACAGCTGAATTCTTGATGGATGAATCCCCAAAACTACCTCTGATGTATGGGTTGCCTAAAATTCACAAGGGTACAAACCCTATAAAATTTAGACTTTTGGCTCAGCTACTGGACTTTCATCTCAAACCATTGGTTCAGAACCTGCCGGCATATGTCAGGGATAAAGGGGATTTTTGTGGATAAACTTGGGGGATTCTCAGCATTCAATGTAAATTGAAAATTACCAACAATGGACATTTCATCCTTATATACAAGCATACCTAATGAAGCAGGTTTGGTGGCGGTTAAACATTTCTGGTCAGGATCGATGGCCCAGAATCTCCCATGTGAATACCATTTCTGCTGCCCCTTCCTTTGCAAATTTGTTTGTTGGGTATATAGAGGAGCACAACATTTATCCCATGCATTGATCATGGCAAATGATGGCTAAGATATATTGACGATATCTTCCTTATTTGGGAAGGGGAAACATCTATATTTTACGAGTTTGTCGATACGCTTAACAGCATCTATCATTTTCAACCCTGAGATATCCCCTGACAGCATTATATATCTTGATGTGAGGATCATTAATAACCAGGCTACATGCCAGACATCTGTGTTCTCAAAACCAACAAACAGGAACACCCTACTACATTACCAGAGCGCACATCCAAGCATCTCCGTGATAGCCTGCCTATTTCACAGTTCAAGTGGGTGTTACACATTTGCTCCTGTATGAATGACAAGATAGAACAACTTGAGGCCATATGTATAAAATTTGTGGAATGAGGTTATCCTACTCGAGTACTTGACCAGGCATTAGCCAGAGCTACAGCAGATTTTGAAGGCAGCCCTAGGGCCGTCAACAGGTCGCCATTTATACACAGCTTCAATCAGGAATCTGAGCGTATTAAACAAGTGGTCATGCGTAATATGTACATCCTTAGAGCTGATGACACGCTATCACCCGACTTAAAGAATCCACCATTGTTGGTACATAAGCGAGGTAGATCCTTACATGACTTATTACTTCAAGTGGACCCTAGGATGAAGTACGCTAAGGCAGTGTTCAAGTTCACCAAAAGACAGGGTTGTTACAACTGTTACAATTGTAATTTATGTAACTCACTGATCTGTGGGAAATATTTCACACATCCGCACAGTGGGAAACGTCACCAGATACAGGGTTACCTGAACTGTAACACTGATTACTGCATTTTATATTCTGAAATGCTCCCGCTCACTAGTTTATGTGTGCAAAACAAAAGGTCCCTTTAAGCGTAGGCTTCAGAAACACAGGAGTGAGATTAGAACAGCTCTAGTCAAGAGTATCAAAGGTGAACCTATTGATTTGAGCAAACCTGTAGCAGTCCATTTTATTTCTGCAGAACACCAGGTACATGAATTCAGGGGAATGACCATCGAACATGT